TCGGTGTGCCTCCCTTTCCCCGCTTCCACACTCCTCCGCCGGCCCGCTGCACCCACAATTCTCCCCCGACATAGGCACCTGTCGAAACCGCGTAGTTGTAGGTGCCGGGGTAGTTATTATTGTCGGTGTGCACGCTGGAGGGTACATTCTCCAGCACGCTGATGGCATTCCATTCACCGGCCTCCTTCAGATCGTCTCTAACTTGGCTTCGTAAGAATGTGTTCAGGTACCGGACGAGGTTGGGGTACTCGAAGGATCGCCTGCATATGCCACCGAAGCCTCCGTGGGCATAGTAGCCGAAGACATGTCGTGCCCTAGGTTCCGCACCACCGTGCACACGCCGGTGCTTGGAGTGTGTAGGCTGTGGAATCATCTCCATGACCTCCTCCAAGGTCTCATAGGTGTAATCCTCGTCATCCAGGGCCTCCTTGGCTCGGAGCTCACACTCCACGGTCTTGTCCTTCCTGTCGCCCCGTGCAGCTCCCACCAGGAACGTGTCCACCACCATCGCGTGGGCCAACTCTTCTGGCTCTGAGGCTATTCCGTTGCAGCCTCCATCGTCCTGAAAGACGTGGCCACCCTTGTAGATCTCGCCGTCATCGTGGTAGTCCCGGTGGATTGCCTCGTCGCGCTCCATGGTTCCTCTAGAGGTCTCGCCATCGTCACGGTAGTCCTGGGGGATGGCCTTGTTGCGCTCCATGACCGCATTGTGAGTCCCGCCGCCATCGTGATAGTCCTGGGGGTTTGCCTCATTGTGCTCCATGCCTCCACTGTAGATCTCGCCGTCATCGTGGTAGTCCTGAGGGATTGCCTGGTTGTGCTCCGTGACTGTATCGTGGTCCTCGACGCCATCGTGGTAGTCCTGGGGGATTGCCTCGTTGCGCTCCGCGGTTCCACTGTGGGTCTCGTCACCGTCGTGGTGGTTCTGCTGGATAGCCTTGTCGCACGTCCCTCCTCTCTCAACAATAGCGGGCTCGTAGTGCTCGTGGTGCTGATCCCGATTTCGGCCTTCATGATTACCAGTGCAGCCTCCCCCGGTCTCCGTGGTGTCGTGGTCCGTACAGGCATCCTTTCTCAGCGTCGCCCAGGTTGGGCCCCCAGTCCGTGACGATCCTTCACGACGGCCAGACGCGTCTCGAGTTCCTGTATCTCGCTCTCCACCTCCCTCGGAACGTCCTGGTTCATGTGAACATGGGCGCAGGGGTCCTCCTCCACCGGCCGGCGGGCTCCCCTCTTCGGTACGACCGGCTGTGGGGCAACGGCCTTGCCACTCGGCGGCTCGTTCACCACGGACCAGGCTGACGTACTCCCCGTCGCTCCTGTTGTTGGCATCGGTGGGGGTGGAATAACCGCAGAAGCCTCCCGGTCGTCGTAGTAGTATCCCCCGGTGTAGGTCGTCGCCTGCTGCTCCTTCTTCTCCCGCCGCCACGTGACATACCTCCCGTTCGCTCGCGCCTCTTCCGAAGCCCAAGCCCCGTAGCTGTCCGGTATCTCCACATAGGGTACTCCGCGATGGCGTCCCACCGCCAGCGGCCGGGCCCGGTGCCACGGCATCGCGGATCCGCAGCATGAGGCTCCCCTTCGTCTCCTTCGGTCCGTAGCCGATCCCGATGGCCTCCGCTTCCGCTCGTAGTTCCGGTAGGGACATGGAGGTCAGGCGCTTCGGAAACATCGGCGCAATCTCGTTGTGCTCGGTCAGGAGGTGGCGGAGCTCCGGTACAGTCCACCGTGGGTGGAATGCGATGCCCAGCCTCGCACATTCCTGCTGTAACTCCACCTTGGTCATCCTCCATGGCGCGGGTCGGGCACTCATAACGAGGTTCGGGTCGCGTGGGCGTTGTGCTGCTCGGTTGAAAACGCTGCGGCCAATCCATATAGCACTGAATATCCACCGTCTGCACATGTGCGCCACCTATCAATGACCGTGGACAGCTCTCTCTGGGTTGTGCATGCGATGCCCCAACTTTCCCGAACATCCCCAAGTGCATCTAGTAGTCTGTCACGATGTAGTGTCTTCGATGTCTGCCACCTAGTTGCACAGAAGAAGGACTTACGGGGAGTCACATGGACCCTGATAAGTTTGTGCTCGGTTTCTATCCAGAAGTCGTTGGAAATGGCCGTAGAGTTCCACCAACCCAGGAATGTATTCATGTTGAGCGAGTCAGCTACCAGGGCCTCGTAGATGGCAGGGGATATCTTCTTGGCATAGAACAGGTTGGGGTTCCCTACAACAGCCTGCCTTTCACCTTCGTGCACCTCTCCCTGCTCAGACTCCCGTAGTACAGCTTCCCCATGTCCCACCACGAAACTCATGTAGGCACCGCGGGTCTTCAGGATCTCGAGTTCCTTGTTCCCCCATGCCTTGGGCACAGAGTTGGGATCGATGGCGGAGCTGCCGATACACTGTACCATCAGGGCCGGGTGTCCTGAGGGAGTGGAGGCCAGCTTAAGCCCCTCAACATTGATCTTTCTAAAGTTCGCGACATTGTGCTCAACATCGAACATCATGCCCAGACTCGCCAACAGGGGGCGCGAGAGAAGTAGTGGGATGTCGCCGTAGATGACCGCGGCCTTGACTGCCAACCAAGTCCCGCCGACCTTGGTGAGAATCACAGCTGCATAGCTCGACTCGTAGACCCGGCTCGCCCCGAATCGGAAAGACTCCTTTTCATTGATGAACTCGTAGGGGTAGGCCTTGTGTCCGTCACCTCCGGCTTGGGCCTTGACGTCGTCGATGTAGCGCTGTAGCCAGGCCGTTCCCACAACGCATCGGGAGCATGCGGTGTCGGTGATGGCCAGTAGGGGTCCTCCTGGGGCGGTGGTCAACTCGAACACCTCGTTGGTCACATGGATGCTGTGGGCCTTCGGGTCCTGGTTGCTTGTTCCCGCTTTGTTTTTAGGACATATGGCGTCCCGATGCCAATGTCCCTTCTGCCCGCACGCCGCGCAGTGGCTTTTGCTTTTAGCCAAAGCCACCTTTTGCTCTGCCGTTTTGCGAACGGCTTCCACGTCCACTCCCCTGGCCTTGGCCGCGTCCTTATAACGAGCCTTCGCCCGTCATGTAAGACACGTAGAGACGTAGAGGTCGCCATTGTCGTGCTCGCCGAGGTCCTGTAGCACCCGATCCTCTTCGCCTTCTTCCTCGTCCTCGATCTCGTCGGTCATGTGGACGGTGTTGGTGCGACCCGTCCGCTCCCAGGGTTTCCTCATCGAGCGATCCAAAATGATCGCGGCCTGCTGCAGCTGCTGGAGGTTGTAGCAGTTCCCTACTGAGGCCAGCAGACTGACCTCAGTGGACTCATCAAGGTTCGCCCGATCCACGAACAGCCATGCCGAGGCTATGTCAGGAAGCCGGCATCCGCACTCGGCCACCCTCGCTGAGAGACGGTTGTACTCGGCAACGTAGTCGCGGAACGTCTGAGCCGGTCTCCTCTTGAGCTTCCTGAACAGGTCGCTCAAGGACCTGCCGATGGAGGTCACCTCGATGTCCAAGTAGTGCTGAGTCACCCAGGCCTTGAAGTACTCCACACCGTCGGGGGAACTCAACCTGTCAACCGCGAGCTGCTCGGCGTTTATCCAGGCGGCACCTTGGAGGTGTTGGTAGAGTACGAGGGTGCGCTGGGATGCCCCCAACTTCGTCATTCTTTCCCAAGCGGCCACCTGACGCAGGTAGCTTCGGGCAGAGCTGCCTAGCTCTCCGCCCTCCCCTTCTCCTCGGAAGACCGGGACCATGATCTTCTCCGAAGGGCCGCCAGGTCGGGGTTCGTAGTCCGCCTTCGCTGTTCCCGTTCCGGTAGCCGTGGGTCGTGTAGTAGACGTCGCGTCGGGAGTCGCCGGAGAGGAGTTCCCGGTGCCCCAGGTAATGCCCGATGTAGGCTCGCCTGTAGTCGGCGGGGTCCCGGTGGTACTCCCGTTCATGGTTGTAGGATCGCTCCACCGCCTCGCCGGAGGGCTCCAGGGAGCACCCGTCCACCATGTCGTAGGGTTGTTCCAGTAACCGTTGCTATGCCAAGGCTGGCCCCAGCCGCCGTAGCCGTTCCAGTCACCATGCCACCCTTGTCGCCACGAAGTCTGGGACCACGAGTTCCCTCCGCTCCAGGATCCGTCCGAAGACCTCCTGGCATTCCAAGAGCTTGCGCCATTGTCTGCTGTGCTCCCATCGCTGCTTGCATCCGGTGCCTCTCCTCGACGAGGTTCCCCACTCCAATCCTGAGCTTCCACAGGGTTGGGGGCAACATCTCCCCAGCCCGCGCCCTGCGGAGGCGCTTCCGATTGGTCCGCCCGAGCGGCGGTATCCCACTGTCCATCGTCCGGAGACGCACCCATCTCTGTCTGAGCCGCGCGGCGACCGTCTTCATCATTGCTCGCCCTGCTCCAGGGATCTCGTTGACTGCCCCACCACGGGTCGGGCTGCTGCTCGGCCGACATGGCCCCGGGCCGCTGGCTCCGCTACCAGTGACAGCTTATCGTAGGAATCAGCTGCCACTGGTAGCTGACACCAAAAAACACGCACAGCTAACAAGTCGAGACAAAAACTTTTCTACCTCAAAACAAACTCTTGTGCCTCCCAGAGCGTCGGCGGCGGTCGCATCTCTGCCAGACCTTCACGTTTACACTAGGGCCTACAGACGTTTCAGGACACCCTCCAGACACGGGAAATAGATTTAACAAGCTTTGCACTGCTCAGCGTGAAAGTTGCACGCTGGATGTCCCACTGACACATGCCCACTTGCATTTGCCCCTGGCTGCTACGCCCGGTACACGGGCACGAGCCCGATGCTGATTTCCAAAGAAGACGGGCCATGATTCAATCAAGACGCAGACCAGGCAATGTCCCCGTTGCCCGATGCATCTGCGTACTCTGATCTGGGGCAGCAAGCAAGGACTGATCACATCTTGGCTGCTATGCTGGCCGGCTCCATGCAGTCTCGCAGAGTTCTCGCACATGGACGCTTGTCTGGGCAGGCGTTACCCAAGTTTCCGCCCTGCATCAAGCACTTTCAGGAGACGGGCTCCTGCTTATGCAGCCATGTGGCGTCTGCATCCAGAGACCCTAGGACCTGGCTGTTAGCCACGGGAGAGCACGTAGACCCACAGCCCAAACCTCGGGGAAGGTGAAACGCCAGTCGATGCGACGAAATGGGCCAGACAGGCTCGGGCATGTAGCTTTTCGAGTTTGAGGCCACACTCATGTGCTGTCCAATCTGATACGCAAGTATGCAGCGATCGGAACATGGGGAGGAAGTCAAAAGGATGGCAGCGGCGAGAGTTCCGCGGAAAGCGCGGGCAGAGGCCAAGAGCCTCATGTGGCTGCGGCAGACAGGCCGTGGCCCGAGCTTGGACACGGCTTAAGGCTCCTGGGCTCTTTTGGGGTTTAGGGTCTAGGGTTTAGGGTTTAGGGTCTAGGTTTTTGCAGGTTTAGGGTTTAGGAGCGTAGATGCTGCCTTATCAAGGACTTCGACGATTGGGGTTCCTGCTCTTCGCGGCTATGCGACACGCGCGAGCAGCTAGAACCCTACAAGCTTGCTTCTAGATAGCCCTAAGGCATGCAGAGATGCGAATCTGTCGGCAAGCAAGCATTCTCTGAGGTGCACTTGAGTCGATCTGACGAGGCGTGGCAGTAGCAGGAACCCGTCTGATGCTCGCCAACAGCAGTTCTCAAATCTGCGGGGTTCCACGTAAGCTTGGAAGCGAAACACTTTCCATGCGCGGCTTCTGTGTGACCATTCAATTCGCCAGTCAGCTTCTCAGCAGGGGCTTGGCACAGGGTCAGAGCTTGAACTGTCTTCGCCCTCAGCATGATATGATGCATGTTGGGGACGACTGTTCCACTAGATGCGATTCGCAGTCGCGCAATGTCATTTGCAGAACGAGAACGCCACGGCGGCGCACATCCTGGGCCTTTGCAGGTCTGTCGCAACAGCTGAAGCAACCAAGGTGGCTTATGCATACACTGTCAGTCACACCAGGCCGGCCCAGCTCCAGAGCCACCTCCCGTCACCGTCAAAGTGAGCAATTCTAAACGAAATCATGTTGCCTGTTCAGCCTTCTAGACGCGGCCGCCACCTGCCCCGAGACACTCGCACACACATGCGAGAGCGTGCACCGATAAGCTCACGAGGGCTTGCCGGCTTCCGGTGAGATTGGATGCAGATGCGGAAAGACTTCAGGCGATACGAGATAGCCCCGACACAAACAGCGCATTGAAACAAGCTACATGTGTTGTACCCTCCGGAGAGTCAACGCAGTGCTGAGGCCTAGCCCCTGTTGGGCCACGGGACCTAACGTGCGAGGAAACACAGACCAGACGGGTAGCCAAGCTCGTCTCCGCGTGTGTGGAGATTAGAGAAGCCTCCGAAGTCAGGAGGGTGCATGTGCAAGCGCAGCAGGCCACCAAGCATCCCGCGAGATCAGCGCTTAAACTTCTGTTGAACGACCACGGCGTGATATGCTTCGCGAGTGCCTAAGCTGTCACACGTGGGACCCTGAAAATTCAAGCTCGCTGCTTTCGCCTCCCATCTCAGAGACTTCAAGCGGTCCGGTTGCACGATCCCGCGCTGCCGACAAACAGCTTCCAGGCACTGTCGCTCGCTTTCAATGGTACAAGAGAGGTACTAGAGCCATCAGCTCACCCAAATAGAGAGCCCCATGCTGAATGATCTCTGCGAGATATGTTTTTGCAACTGCTGGGCAAGGCCGATGGAAGCTGCTAGCAGCTAGCAACGAAGCACGAAATTGCAAACCCCGCTGCCTCCGCTGCCAACATCGGCAAGAGACCACATCCAGCAGCCAGGCAGTCTGGCGTTCGGAGCTTAAACCAGCCAGGGGGATCGTTGATGCAACCCGGGCCCTGTGTTCCAGCCATGCGCATGGAGTCGCCCTCCTGCCGCGCGGACCAGAAGCATGGCGTGAACTCCAGGCCCTCATGACGACAACAAGAAACGGAGCACGTGATCGTGACAAAGTCGTGCGATCCTACTCAGTTTCTGGTGCACCTGGCTGCGTCGGCTTCCTGGTGGTGCTGGGTACAGCATCCTGCCCGTGCTGGAAATCTGGCTACATGCGCAGGTACGGGTCTCGCCATGCGCAGCCTTGGACGCGAGCACCGGTCGCACCTGCAATGGAAGCCCAAGGTCAAGCACGAGACGGTCACCAGCTGAAGCAGCTGAAGTGAAGGCCCAAGACATTCTGCACATTGGACGAGAGCGTCGCTCAAGTTGAAGTCAAGCGGCTGCTGCGGCTGGCTGACCAAGACACTCGAGGCCGTTCTACGCAAACAGTCGAGCTTGCCGTCGATGTGAGAAAAAACAGTGATTGAGCCGAGCTGCAGGTCGCGGGCTGGTACGAGTATCCAAACAGACACCCAACAGGAACCGAGAGCCCTGACACACCCTCGGCCTCTTTCCTCCCAGTCCTACTCAGTTGGGCAATGTGCGAAATGCCAGGGTGCTTTGCTCAATAACACAAGGACGCGATGGAGCACTGCCATCAAGCATGAGCAAGTGACGAAAGCAACAACTGAACTGCTCAGGATGAATCATCCTCGGCCTTCACTCCGTTTGATTTGGATGACTGGCTTCCTCAGACCTCCCTACCTGCGAAACACATGCTGACCCAGCCGTGGCTGCCTTCGCTCAGAACGCGCTCGCCGCCCCCACTCCAGCGCCGCCTTGCTGAAGGAGCAGGAGCCGGTCGATGCAAGGTACAAGCAGACTCGGCAACATCGCGACTGCCTGGTGCGTCGGTGGCCCTGGGCTTTTGTTGGCAAGCACAGCAGATCGGGGCAACTTACGAGGATCACGGCCAAAACCACCCTTAGCTCTTGGCAACTGTGTGGCTGCAAGCGTTTGCCGAACATCTGTGGGCAGCCGCGAACAAGTGAGAAGTACGTACTGTCGACCCTTCTGAAAATGCAGACAAAATGTGCCTGGCTTCTCGAGGGCGGCACGTTGGACGAACGATGTAAGCGATTGGCTGCCTTTGGTCTCTGGCTGATCCACGACAGCAGGTATGGTGCCTCACCTCTGGACAGCCTGTGGAGAACCTACAAACTGGCTGGCAGAAGTCAGGAGGAAGTCAGTGCAAGAACAGCCGGCCCCAAAGCGTCCCGTCAGGCGTGGTGCCCTAGTTGAGCAAACGAGGCGTGACAGAAAACCGTGCATGTTCGGCTGTACTCCGCCATGGTTCGAGAAGTGTGCAGCTTTAGTCCAACATGATCGTTCGGAAACAAAACACTCGTGCTGGTCACTGAAGGCCTTGCAAATCTCTCCATCCAGGCATGGCGACGTGCCATGAAAGCATGACGTGCGGAGACTCATGAGGATCTGCGGAGCTGTCGTGTAGAGAGAAACACTCACACAAAGAGCCCCATGTTCCACCGTCTCTGCAACATCTGGCCCGTCAGCAAGCCCGGCAAGACAAGGCCGATGGAAGCTTCCAGGAAGGGCGACACCTGCACGGATGCAAAATTTCGAACCCCGCCTTTTTCGCCGCCAAAACATCCAGCAGCCAGGCAGCCTGGCGTTCGATGCCCACACCGCTTACGAAGGATCTTTGAAGCAACGGACACGCGCTGTTGAAGCCGTTCACAGCATATGGCGTCACCCTGATGCCGAGCACGCAAAACATTTTACGTCCCTTCCAGGCCCTCATCAAATCAGCAGCCAACTGAGCACGTGGCAAACGCAAGACCAAGTGACTAAGTGCGCCTTATCATTCAGCTTCCGGCGTCTGCTGCATCGTGCACTCACAGGAAAGCTCTGCAAGCTCCCGACAGCTACTGGCCTGGCCATCTCACTGCATGCCCAAGCGCAGATCCTAATGCCTTGCTGACTGAAAGGTATATGGGACCAAGACACTCTAAGCAGACAGACGAACTAGCCATCGCACACATTGCACAAGCTTGAGAGGGTGCCCAGCAGCATGACGGCAGCACCGCGGACATTCACTTGTGCAAGCCTGTGCACTTCTGCTCGTTGCAAAGCTCCTGCCCCAACAGAGAACAGCGACAGGCAGGGATCGGCGGTGCACACCAGCAAAGATCCGAGTCGAAGTCAACCAGGCAATTTGTTGAGGACACGGACGCTTAGCTCAGGCCAGCTGGCAGATGTAGCGGAGATAAGGGCGCATCAGGACCCTTTCAAGCATGAGCAACCAACTTCCACATCCATGACTCGGTCTGCGCTCCCCTGTCTGGCTGTCCAGCCCAGCAGACAGGCGCGCATCTAGGGTTGCCTTCTCACTACTCTGGCAAAACTGAGGGCGAGCCGCTCACGATGGCCTGCGGTTCAGATGCTCATGACCGTTTGGCAGCTCTTGGCTGCCAAACGCAGCCCAGGGGCACGAGTCCTGCTTTGCAACCAAGACAGCTGGCAGATGTAGCTGATGTAGCTGATGTAGCTGATGTAGCTAATAGCAGCTTGCATCAG